TCAAGGTAGCTGATAGGCATGGGTGTCCTCAGAAGGCCCCAGCATCTGGAGAGGAGAGGCTGGTGCCAACTGGAGAGGGGGTTCTACCCACAGGAGGCCCCACCTGCTTATCCTTGCAGTGGAACCTGGTGTGCGAGCACAAAGGCCTGAACAAAGTGACATCCACCTTATTCTTCATCGGCGTGCTGGTGGGCGCTGTGATCTTCGGATACCTGTCCGACAGGTAGATTGAGGCCTTGGGTGAATACAGGAGCAGGCAAGGTGGGGGGACCCCTCTTTCACCAGTGGGGGCTGGGGCTCCTTGGCATCTCTACGGGCAATGACACCGTGTGACTACCCACAGGTTTGGGCGGCGGCGCCTGCTGCTGGTGGCCTATGTGAGCTCCCTGGTGCTGGGCCTGGCATCTGTGGCCTCGGTCAACTACATCATGTTTGCCATCACCCGCACCTTCACTGGCTTGGCCCTGGCTGGCTTCACTGTCATTGTGCTGCCACTAGGTGAGGCAGACCAGGGACAGACAGGGCCCAGAGGGCTGGAAGGAGCAAGGGCAGCACAAGAGGCCACCTGGCCCCACTAACTGCCTTCCCTGGTCCGCCCGGGTGTAGAGCTGGAGTGGCTGGATGTGGAGCACCGCACAGTGGCTGGTGTCCTGAGCACCATATTCTGGTCAGGAGGCGTCACGCTGCTGGCACTGGTTGGGTACCTGATACGGGACTGGCGATGGCTTCTGCTGGCTGTCACCCTGCCCTTGGTCCTGGGCATCATCAGCATCTGGTGAGGAATGCAGGCAGCTGGGAAGTGTGGGATGCAGGAAACCAAAGAGAGAATTAATCAGAGACGAAGACTGGGAGACAGAGACACTGAGGGACAAAGGGAAAGAAACAGAGCCAGTGACCCAAGAGACAGAGAGAGTCACCGAAAGAGCCACAGAAACAGAGAACAAGACACAGAAAGATAGAGGTAGAACCAGTGAGAGACAGCAACAGAGACCAGAACTGAAAGGTAGATTCAAAGAGACAGAGGGAGAGACAGTAAGGCAGGAGAGACAAAGATAAAGACAGTGCTGAGCAGAAGCCCAGGTTAGCCTTGGAGGGGTGGGCTGAGCAGGGGCGGGGGTGGGGTAACAGGGCAGGAGGCCAGGCAGGGTGACCTCCCATGCTTCCCAAGATGGCCTGGCTCGCTGGTCTTTCTGGAAATCAGTTCATCTGTCCCTCTTGTGCCCTGGGGGAGAAGTGTTTGGCTGGTGCCGGGAGCTAAGGTTTGGGGAGTGAGCAACTCAGTTGGGTAAAGAAGGAACCTTCAGGCTGAGCAGGGAAGTGTGGGAAAAGGGGGCTTTTATAATGGACCTTAGAAAAATACTAAGCTCAAATGGGGAGTGGGAGGAGATGACCTTCAAGTGGAGGGAACTTACGGCACACGTGTTTTTTGTGGGTTTTTTTTTAAACAAAAGATGTTAATGTGTGAGTTGTTTTTTCTAAACTAAAACCTCAGTGTTCAGGTTTAATTGCAGTGCTGATATTTGGGATAAATAAGTGGGTTTTGAGTTGCAGTTTGGGCATTCATCTCTGAAAGGTTTGCATCACTGATCTAGAAGCTGACTGCCTATGATGGGCCAGGAGGGAGACTTGGTTAATGGGGCTGACTCTGACTGAAGGGCCTCCTGCTGTCCTCTAGGTGGGTGCCCGAGTCTGCACGCTGGCTTCTGACCCAGGGCCGTGTGCAGGAGGCCCAGAGCTATTTGCTCCACTGTGCCAGGCTCAATGGGCGCTCTGTGGGCGAGGATAGCCTGAGCATGGAGGTGAGGGTGTGTGTTTGGGGGGGGGACTGTGTGCAGTACCCCTCTCAGGGAGCCCCACAGGTAGTAGGAAAAGTGTTTGACCCCAGTGCAGAGTTCCAAACACATTATGACATCCTGTCTGGCCTGGGAGATACATAACTCACTCAGGGTCCACCTTGAAGCTCCCTGTGCCCCTCCAACTCTGCCACAGCAGGGGGAGGCACAGAGACCCAGAGAGAGAGCAGGAACCCCATGAGCCTGTTGAGACCAACTCTGAGCCACAGCATCCCCTTCTCCCTGAAGGCTCTGAGCAAAGTGGCAGCAGCTGAACGGGTGGTCCGGAGACCCTCGTACCTGGACCTGTTCCGCACACCGCGGCTGCGACACATCTCGCTGTGCTGCATGATGGTGTGGTGAGGCGGGAGCTGGGGGTGACTGGGGCTAGGAGGAGTCATCTGCCTGGGGAGGATGTAGATGGAGCGGGCAGCAAGGAGTTCAAATTCAGGCTTTGCTTCTCTTCCCTGCCTGGCCCTATTCAGTCCCTTCCAGGGACTGTAAAATGGACTACTGGTGAAGACTGTGGTCATGACCCTCTAGCCCTGGCATATCATAGGCTCAGAGGGCTCATGGGTGGCGGGAAGTGCCAGGCAGGCCCAGAAAGGGCAGACCGTTCCTCTAAAAGCCCAAAGCTCCTGAGCAGAGAGAACAAAGGGGCGAGAAGGGTCCCTGAATGGTGCTGCTGCTCCTTCCAGGTTCGGGGTGAACTTTTCTTACTATGGCCTCACGCTGGACCTGTCGGGGCTCGGGCTGACCGTGTACCAGACGCAGCTGCTCTTCGGGGCGGTGGAGGTGCCCTCCAAGCTGGTGGTCTACCTGTTGGTGCGCTACGTGGGGCGCCGGCCTACGGAGGTGGGCATGCTGGTGGGCGCTGCACTGACCTTCGGTGTACGACTGTTGGTGCCTTCGGGTGAGCCCCACCACTGCCCCGCCTCCTGAGAAACAGTTTGCCCCCCAGGGGCCCGCCCCTTATGAAAAAGATCCACGCCCATATATCCACACTTAATCCGGGATCCCGTCCACCCAGCCTCCTACAAAGGAGATCCACCCACCAGGGCTCCGCCCCACTACGGCCCCTCCTCCTGTGAGCAAGCCCCGCCCCCGTCCTACACCTCCCCTTGCAGAGACTCCGCCCCCATCCTGGGTACTCCTCTTCCTTCTCCCTCCCTTAGCGGAAACCTTTTTTCTTCAGAGACCAAATCCTGGCGCACCGCCCTAACGGTGATTGGGAAAGCGTTTTCTGAGGCCTCCTTCACCACTGCCTACCTGTTCACTTCAGAGCTGTACCCTACTGTGCTCAGGTGAGGGAGCCAGAGAGCAGGGTCCCAGGTAACAGACCTGGGCTCAGGCTTGTTAGTCCCTTCCCTTTCTTTACGCTGCACCCACAACGCAGCGCTAATCCGGGCTGTGTTGACTCAAATCCTGGAGTCGGTGGAGCATCTCATCTTCTGTACTGTGTGGTCCTAAGCCAAGTCAGACAACTTCTCTCGGCCTGCTTTGGAGGAAAACAGTCCCAGGAAGCCCCATCCTGCCCGCCCGGTCCCGTTTATTGCTGGCCGGGCAGAGCTGCCTGGGGCGCCCCTTCGGCTCTCAGCAGCTGGGAGCGCAGAGCTTCTGGGTTTCAGTGTAGAAAGAGTTGGGCTCCTCTGACATGGGAGCGTCCAGGCAAACTGGTCTTCCACGCTGCTCCTTCCTATCCCGCCTGTAGCTTTTTTTCTCTTTTGGTGGTATCTGACTGGCACTCTGGTGACACTGGCCTGGGGCTCTTGGGCTGGGAGTGGATGGGCGGTGTCTGGGAAAGGGGCAGAGAGGGAGCTTGACGAGGCAGGCGTGGCCGGAAGGAGGGCGAGAAGCAGCTGCCTCCCTGCTCCCCTCTGAACAGGCAGACAGGGCTAGGGCTGAGCTCACTGGTGGGCCGGCTGGGTGGCTCCTTGGCCCCCCTGGCGGCCTTGCTGGACGGAGTGTGGCTGTCACTGCCCAACATTGCCTATGGGGGGATCGCCCTGCTGGCTGCCTGCACTGCCCTTCTGCTGCCAGAGACGAGGAGGGCACAGCTGCCAGAGACCATCCAGGACGTGGAGAGAATGAGGTGTGTGCACAGGGCTGGCAGTGTGTGTGTGTGTGTGTGTGTGCGCGCGCACATGTGTGTGGGTGCAGGTGCTTGGTGACCTGCCCCCTGCTCAGGTGTACCTGGGGCACATGTGAGTGTGCACAAGTGAGCCCAGGCCCTGAGGGAAAAGGTGAGTCTGTACATGTGTGCACACACAGATCCCTGGGGCTGCTCAGGAGAGGGCTATGTGTGCACTGAGCCATGCTTGCACATCAGAAGGGTACAGGCGTGTGAGTCATTGTGGGTGTACAGTGTGTCTGCCAGGAGCAGGGGAGAGGCCAGGGCAGCAAGTTCTAACCCTGCCTTGTTCCTCCTCTGTCCTTTCCAGTGCCCTGCCCAGTGTTCAGGAGGAAGAGATGCAGGCCCAGAACTGAGTGCGGCTGGGCACAGCCCTCCACAAGCAGCTCTTGAGCAGGCGCTAAGCACAGAAGGGCAGGCTCTTAAGACCTGGGCTGGGGCCACTGAAGCCCTCTGCCCAGGGCTGGAGTTGCCATGGGAGCCCCTGCCTGTGCACATTCAGCTTTAACTATTCAGCTGCCAGCAACAGGACTACTTCCCAGGAAGCAGTGGTCTGTGGGAGATCTTGGGCACCCCTTTTGGGGCTGGGGGGATTCTGTGAATAAAGGTGCCTCTTAGGTAGGGGCAGCAGTAAGGAGCTTTGGGAACAGCCCTAGATGGGAAGCTATTGGATTGGCTCTGGGCTCTGATCTCAGCTTTGCCACCAATTTTCTGTGTGACTTTGGGTGTGTTGCTTTCCCTCGCTGGGCCTCAGTCCCCTCATCTCCCAAATGATGATGATGATGAAGCATCTCAGCTGACCTCACCACAGGATCTGTTTTGCTGCAACTGAACAAGGTGCTTCTTGTAGATGGCGCTGGAGAAGGGACTGTCCCATGTTGTCCCCTACATAATGCTAGGGGCTGCCCAATGCCAGGGCCAGGGGAACCAAAAGTACAGTCAGGGAAGGCCAGCCCTGCCTCCTCTAAGACACTCTGCAGGGACCCCCAGGCCCACTCAACAGACTGTCTATCCTGATGCCCAAAGAACTGAGGGCATGGAAGCCAACATTTTATTAGAGAAGCCAGAGAGGCTGGGGCTCAATAAACAAAAGTTTGATAAGTACCTTTAAGCCTCAGAATTTGCTGGGACAAGGGATGAGAAGGCGCGGGGCGGGGGGGGGGCACCATTCGTAGTGGGGTGGCCTGTGTCCCGACTAGGTAGGAATGGGAAAGGGAAGAGTTGGCAGAGAAAGTCTAGAGTAGACTCTGGCCTATCATGGAGTCTAGGCCCAGGGACCCAGGATCCTGCCTTCTCCACCCCACAGGACCCAAGAGAGAAATCATGGCTCCCACTGGACCACAGAGGGGGTGGCAGGAAGCCTGCATTAGGGTGACCTCTCCTGGGAGCTGCTCATTTGGGTTTTATCTCCACTGGGTCATAGATATAGCAGCCCACATCGCCGATATTCACACCTATGGGAGAGAGCCCTATCACCATAGGCCTTAGCCTGGGGGGGGGGGGTGAGGGCTGGAGGGAACTGGGGGGCTAGGGTTCCAGTAGCTGCAGGGGAAGTTGTCCACACATCCCTCACACCACATACACGCCATACTCTAGGCCCAGGGTCTGGGGTGGGGCTGCCCACCTTTGGGGCCGAACAGGTAGCCATAGCAGGGGATGTGGCAGTAGGGGACACCATCATGCTGGAACACAGAGAGATGAGAATTTCTTAGCCTGGTGCTCTTCCTAGCACCTGTATCCTCATCCCAGCCTAACGCCACCCCTGCCCTGCCCACCTCAGCATGGCTCCCGGCAGTCAGGGTCTTCCGGCAACGCTGGCACCTCAGACAGGGTCGATGCCAGTTTCTGCCCAAAGACATCACCTTCTCCGCTGGCAGTGGAGATAAGTGGCAGTTCCTCCCTGCCTCTGCTACCCACCCCAGGTCCCCTTCTCAAGCTCTCCATTGTCACTTACCGAAGAAGACAGGCTGCCCACAGCCAGGGCACAGTGAGGTCTCTCCTGTGAATGTTCTCATTCGGGGTAAGCCTTTCAGGGTGGTAAGAGGCCCTAGCTAGGGCTGCATTGGGGCCAAGGCCTCGGCAAGGCCCATAGCACCTGCTTGCCATGGCATCCTCTCCCCAAGCCCATGCTTGCTCACCACAGAGCCCCACCCAGGTGGCTACCACCCACCTTCCTTTAGGCCATGGGCCCACCCCCTTCTGGATCAGGGACTACCTGCCTCCTGTCAGGGCCACCACCCCAGCCCTGTCAGCAACTCAATCCTTAGGAAACCTGAGCCGATAAAGGAGTCAGCCAGGGGCAGGGTGTCAGGTGTTGGGAGTACAGTGTCACTGCCCACTCCGGGATGGCAGAGGAGCAGGGACCAGTGGAGAGAAGTGAGGAACCCACTGCTGGTCTAGCCCATGACTCCTCACTTGTAGATCTTTGCCCCATGGCATGGCCTCTGCTAGCTGTGTGACTACCAGGTCACTTGGCCTCTCTGGACCACGGATGCCTCAAACACAGAATGGGTGACAATGCCATCTGCCCTCTCTACCTGTTAAACTTGGCAGCTGGCATGAGGGAGTATCAGAGAAGGGGCCTGGGAGAAAACTGCAGGGGCAGAGGTGCAGGGATGGGACTTAGAAAAAGCAGAGGGTCCTGAGAAGGCACAGGGAAGGCTGCCACCAGCCTCACTTACTTTTCTTGCCCTGGGGGAGGCCGTTCCTTGGCCTGGGTGGGCTGAAGCTGCTGGGGCTGAGGGGGGTGATGCTGGCAGGGGAGGGCGTGGGGGGATTATAGAGATAGGAGCCCACACCACCGATGTTCACCCCTGCAGGGAGAAGGCGGGCAGGGAGGCCAGGGTGATGGATCACAGGCAGGGCAGGACAGGGTGGGTCCTGATGCCCGCCCTCCTGGGCTGGTACTCACCTCTAGGTCCAAAGAGGGCCCCGTAGCACGGTTTGTGACAGTAGGGCCTCCCGTTATGCTGGGCACAGCAGAGGGAAGGGGGTCACTAGGGCCAAGATAGGCTGGGGCAGTGAGGGGTGGGCAATGGGTATCCTGACAGAACTGCCACTGTGGTCCAGGTAGGCAGAGCAGGCCATGGGGTAAGGGCACACTGCAGCTCACACTGCAGCTCCCAGCCCTGGCTGTGGGTGGCCCCGAGTAGGGGTCTGGGGTGGGGCGTGATGTGGGACTGGATCCTGATCTCCTCACCTCTGCATGCCCTCCTGGGGACAACACGCTGTGGCAGCGCTCACATTTCAGGCAGAAGCGGTGCCAGTTCTTGCCCAGGGAGCTCACTTTTTCCGCTGCAGGGGACAGGGTGGGCAGCTGCGGAGTAGGGAACCCCGCCCCGCCCAGCCTAGGAACACGCAGCCTTTTGCTCGGGATCCTGCATCCAGAGCCCGTGCACTGGGCAAAGAGGGAACCGCACCAGGCTGTGAGACTGCATCTGTGGCCACCCGGGCCCGCCCTGCACCCCCTGCCCACGCGCGCCCGTGCCCCCTTCCTGCCCGACCTCACCGAAGTACACAGGCTCCTGGCAGCGCGGGCAGCTCCAGCTCATGGCTCCACCGTCGCAGCAGTCGCTGCCAACCGGCCTCCACACAGCGGGCTGGTCCCGCCCCTCCGCAGCCCCGCCCACACCCTTCGGTTGTCCCCCACCCTAGGAATGCAGCCCTGTTCCCTCGGGGGTCGGCAAAGCCCGGACCCTCGGGGAAGAGCCCGGGGCTGCCGCTGAGCCCCATGGCGCTGTTGTCCCTAGGCAGACTCCGCGGAAACACTACTCTCCCCGTCTGCGCTAAAGCAGTGGACGTTCCTGCAGAGGTTATTCTTTTCAGGCCGTCTCAGTCCGGGCTGCCTCCCACGCCAGGCGGTGCCCGGCTCCTCTGCCTCATGTCCTCATCCACACACACAGTGCACATCCTGACAGCAGTGTCTGCCTCACAGGTCATGAGAATCAGACGCGGTCACACACATGCGCTCAACAGCGCCGGCACAGAAATCAGAGGAGCCACAGCTCTCACCAGGATACGTCAAAATAGGGTCTGCACATAGTAATGGCTGTTCATAACATTAAAATGTTTAGAAATATACTCAAACACTAATCACACACTTCTACTTTAAGATTTAAAAATATTTATTAAAGTAGCCCACCTGGCAGGGATGGGATACCTGCAGTACCTGCTACTCAAAAGGTTGAGGCAGGAGGATCACACGTTTGAGGCCAGCCTAGGCAACTTATCAAGACCCTGTCTCAAAACCTGGAGTGTAGCTTTGTGGTAGAGCACTTGCCTAGCAGCAGTGAGGCTCTGAGTTCAGTACCCAGTACTGGGGAAAGGAGAGTGGCCCATTAGTGCTGCAAAGAATTTCAAGGAACTTACCCATACAATGAAGAAATCATTTGTAAGCATGTATCTGCTAAGGGTCTAGTAACAAGGATGTGTAAATAACCTATAATACAATAATAAAAAGGTAGGGATGCAAGAACATGGCTATACTGGATCCCTCATACATTGTTGGCGGCATTGTTAAATAGGGTATTAACTTTCGAAAACAGTCTAGCAGGTTCTCAAAGTGTTCAATGGAGTTACCATAGTACTTGCAAGTCCACTTCCATGGAGATACCTGAGAGAAATGAGTATGCAAATGTTCACAGGAGCACTATTCACAATACCCAAAGTCTATCAAATGGTAAGTAGATAAATAAAATGTCCATCCAAATGACAGAACATGAGCCACGAAAAGAAAGTACTGAGGCATGCTACAATATGGGTGAGTCACAAAAACATTAAAACCCAGACATAAAAGGCCACATACTGTATGATAGCATTTGTATGTCACCTTACCAATTCCTGCTAACCTAAGCTCGCCCTCATTTGCTCAGTACCAGGCTCTGGGTCCAGGCACTCACACCTACAGCACTGCTCTCTGCTGGAGGGTATTGTGGGGCCCAATCCATGATAGCTATGCTTCCCTGTCTGGGTGCTGAACCAAATGAGAAAACAAAGCCTGATAGAAAGTCATGTAGCACCTCTGTCATTGATAAAGGCTGAGATGTCACACAGGGAGAGAGTCCAATCTAGTCCGTGACTAGGGCTGCCTTGCCAACCACCATATTTTCAGTGCCTTGCTCAGCTTCTGACACACAATGCTCGACAAACCAATGTTCAGTGTTATACTCAAGTCCTCCAGGTGTGAGTGAGGGCTAGTGAGAGAGATGTGGGAGTGGGAGGGGATGGTATGGTTGGAGAGTTGGCAACAAAACCCTGGAGGGAAGCTCAGCTCCCTAGGCAGAAGGTCTTAGGAGTTTGTTTCCTAAGATCAACACGTGTGATGCAAAACGGGGAGTATGATTTAAACCGATATTTTGATTATAAGTACAAGGTATAAAATTTTTTTAAAACCTGAAAATTTGCTTTGGCGGCAAACCAGTCCCACTATTTACAGTCATTCACAGGAACTTACTAATTAACCATAATTAATATGTAGCACAATTTATGTCTCTCATTAAATACATGGCAAATGAAAGGATGTGGGAAAGTGCTAGGGAAACTTTATAGCACCTTTTATATATGGCTGCTATTATGTGTCAGGTTTACTCCTATAAATTCCACCTACTTTATGTCTTTGTAGACTTAAGTATGCTTGTGACTTCTGTTTTATTTTTGTGGTACTGGGGATTAAACCCAGGGCCTGAGCTACTCCCTAGCCCCAGCCCCAGTGACTTTTATGGCATCAAAAGCTTTGTTCCTAGATACTTCTGAAAGGAAAAATCACTAAGTTCTGGTAAGTCAATGAAAATTCAGTCTTATTTCTTCATAGTTTTAGGGTTTTTAAACCCTTATTACCATTAAACCTTGTGCTTTCTCATTGTATTTTCTCTCAACTAGAAAGCTTTACTTTCTTTTTTTTGGTACCAGGGATCGAACTCGGGTCCTCGCACTTGCGCAGCAGGCGGTGGAACCACTGAGCTAAATTCCCGGCCCCTGAGAAAGCTTTACTTTCTGTAGTTTATATTAGTTAACAAACAGGGCTGGCCATGTAGCTTAGTAGTACAGCTCATGCTTAGTATGTGTATGGCCCTGGGTTCAAACTCCAGCACCAAAACAACAAAACCACATACAGCAAAACAGAAAAAGACTGAGTTTGCTTTCTTAAAAACACATCCATTCCCCTACCTGTAGAGAACTGCTGTTAATATCGTCTATGGCTCTGGGAGACTGTTAGATTTTCTTGATTCCCAGCATCATCTTGCCATGAACCTCTGAGAGAACTCTCTCTATAGCCAGTAGTGCTCAGCTGCTCAGGGCTATGTGAGTGTTTATGTGCTGTGATTCAACAGCATCAACTGGATTAATTCAGAATCCAAATTTCAGGAAAGCCCCTCTAGCCCTCTGCCTTCACCCTATGCATGTGAAGAAACCAGCAACAGCTTTGAGTTTTTCAAGCAAGGTTGGATTTGGCTTTTCAAGAATCACTTGGAAATGTACATTTCACCTGAGAGTATGTAAAGATAATTACCTTCAAGTAAGTTGCAAGATGAAAATATATGATGTATACTGGAAACTGAGGGAAAAAAGAGGAGTGAAACTTGTCTATAAATTTGAGATGATGGGAATGCTCCTTGGAGTTGCTGTAAAGTAGTAGAAACTTCCTTATCTTCATACTAAGATCTGGAGGGCTGGGGATTTAGCTCAGTGGTTCCAGCACCTGCTGTGCAAGCGCAAGGTTCCGAGTTCAATCCCCAGTACCAAAAAAAAAAAAAAAAAAGCGAAAATATATACTAAGATCTGGGAGGGAATTTTTTTATAATATACAAAAATAGGTCTTCCACAGGGGTCATCACAATTCCTGACTTGAAATTAATACTACAAAGCTACTGTGATTAAAAACAGCATAGTGCTGGCAAAAAAACAGACCTGAGGATCAATGGAACAGATTAGAAGATGCAGAAATGACTCCAGACACACTCAGCCATCTTATCTTTGACAAAGGTGCCAAACACCTTCACAGTTAGACAGATAGCCTCTTTAATAAATGGTGTTGGAAAAACTGGCTTTTCACATGTCAAAGATTGAAACTAGACTCATATGTTTCACCATGCACTAAACTAAATTCAAACTGGATCAAGGATCAAAAAAATAGATCGAAGGGCCGGGGATTTAGCTCAGTGGTTCCACCGCCTGCCTTGCAAGCACAAGGTCCTGAGTTCGATCCCTGGTACCAAAAAAAAAAAAAAAATGGATCGAAGATCTAAATACTAAAACAGAAATACTTAATCTGCTAGAAGATAGAGTAGGTAGACGTCTCAAAGACATTGGTGTAGGCAAAGACTTTATGAACAAACCCCCGATGGGACAGGAATTATCACAAAGAATCAACAACTGGGATCTCATCTTATTAAAAAGCTTTTTGCACAGCAGGAGAAGCCATCAACAGAGTGAAGAGACAACCCACAGTATGGGAAAAAATTTTTGCCAGGTATTCCTCAAAGAACTACTATCTAGAATATAAAAAAACTAAAACAAAAAGAGACCCCCCCCAAATTTAAAGACCCAATCCAACAATGAAATTCTAGAACTGAGCCAAGCTATTGAACAAATGGATTTAATAGATGTTTACAGAGTGTTCCACTCCACACAATCAGAATACACATTCTTTTCAGCTGCACATGGGTCATTCTCCAAAATAGACCACATGCTAACTCATAGGACATGTCTAAGTAAATGTAAAAGAATTGAAATTACCCTCTTGTATATTATCAGACCACAGTGCAATAAAATTGGAGATCAATAACATAAGAAACTCCCAAACTCCCACAAACACATGGAAATTGAATAACACCCTCCTGAAGAACCAATGGGTCACAGAGGAAATTAAAGAAGAAATTAGACAATTTCTACAAGTAAATGATAATGCCAGTACAACATACAGGAATCTGTGGGCCACAATGAAAGCAGTTCTACCCGGGAAATTCATAGGAGTGAATGCCCATATTAGGAAAACGGAGAGAACTCAGATAAATAACCTAATGCAGAACCTCAAGCTCCTAGAAAAAGAAGAGCATAACAAACCCAAAGCTCGTACAAGAGAGGAAATTATAAAGATCAGAGCAGAAAT